AGTGCAACATATAAATCTGTACATTTACATTTATTTTTACATCATTGATCCAATCACCTCCCCATAGGGCTGGATATAAAATAGTTTTATAAAATTCTGTTCTTGACCAGCATTCTTATTTTTGTGTATGGCATGTGAAAATTCAAATTTCTCAAACTGAAAATAAACTTAACCTAGTAGCTAGTGAACAAGCTGCATGGAGAAACTAACAATTTTTGTAATAATTTTTGAAACTATGGACAAGACACAGTAGCACTTAGTTACATATTCCTTTCACATCTCTGAACTTACAGATACTTGAATTTCTTTGAGGACTGTGTGTATTTGCATTTGGAAAGCTCTGTAGGAAGTTGCTGGGTTTGCAAGAGTGACAAATTTCTTGTGTTCTTACTCCATTCCAGTATATACTGGCTTTTCAGTTATGAAATTTTCTCATCACTTTCCAGTGATTTTTATAGTGCTCATTTTTAAACTTAGAAATTAAGAGTCGTTTCTGATGTGTAGACCCACCACTGAAGCTCTTATGGCTCTTCTTTCATAAGTACACACGAAAAAGGGTATCTTTGAGAATTAATGTAGTTACAGTGAATTGATAGGGGTATTCAACTTTTGTGTGGAAAGAAAGCAAGGAATTTAAAATAAAAGGTGAAACTGGCACACTAATATGCCTGCACGATATTATACATAAAATAACATGTTCAGTACCTATTAAAAATCTCCCCTTTGAGCTTTATTAAATTATTTGCTTATGATGTGTTTAAAAGTTGTATATAAAACAAGAAAGAAACTTACACATAAACTAATATTTCATGTCCCCAAAATGAGTACACATTTGTGTTTTAAAAATATTTTGTTTTCATTTGATATACATGTATACGTTTACTGTGAAACAGACCATGAAAAGCGGAAAAATGTGAAAACGATTGACAGCTATTATATAATTTATCGACAGTATTTTAAATTACAGAGAACTTATTTTATATATTTTTGTTTTGAGTGAATATGGTAACTAATTACTTTGTCTCAAACTGATTAGCTTATATGTTTTAGGTGTTCTGTTTAAAACTTATGTGTATAAATACTTGGAAGCATGATTTGTATACAGTGTGTGATAACAATAGAAATCATTTTAGAAGACAGTTTTAGTCATGTGGTGATAAGTTGACACAAATGTATATGACCTAAGCATGATTCATGCCCATCTTTCATAAGATAGATATGACTCAGTCATGCAGTTTGACTTGCTTTGCAAGTACAGTCAGACTTAACTACTAAGTTTTGCACTTTTCTTTAAACATGGAAACCAAGAGAAATCAAGTAGAAATTGAATTAATTCATACAAGCTCTTATCATATATTAAGAAGATGGTTTGGGACTGCTTTCGAATGACATTTCTACACTGAGTCAGGTGGTATGTAGTGTAGACAGTCCCCTCTGCTATATACAGCAGTTTCTAAATTCTTCCACACATGCCATACAAAGGCAGCAGATAAGTCCGCCTTGAAGCCCTCATGTTCATGACTGATGACAGTACATACCCAGCAAGTTTGAACACATTCAGAAAGTTAATTTGAGAAATACATCTTTCTAAATGTGTTGTGTTATGGTAGGCACAAGAAGTGTACCATCATATTCAAATCAAGTTAGCTTAGATGTTGTCTGGCTTGTGTTCACTAAGTACTTAGCCTGAATTTTGACTGGGGCACAGACTATTCTGAAAGTTGTCTTGGTTTCTCTTAGGCCTGCCACAATGTCCCCACCAGTCCTTTGCAGTTCACCACATAATCATATTTTATCCCTCTACCTATGTCTCGGTATTCCTAGCAGTCTCTTTCCTTCTTGCTTTCCCACCAAAACCCTATATGCACATTCTGCTTCATCGCCATGCCTGCTACATGTCCTGCCCATCTCATCCTCATCCATTTGCTCATTCTGATTATATCTGGTGAAGGGTACAAGTTATGGCAATCCTCATTATGCAGTTCTTTTCCAACATCCTATTATTTCATCCCTCTTTGGTCCAAATATTCTCCTGAACACCCTGTTCTCAAGTATCTTTAATCTATGTTCTTCCCTTAATGTCAGAGACCAGGTTTCACAACTATTCAAAACTACAGGCAAAAATCACAGTTTCATATATTATAATTTTTACTTTTTTGGATGGCATGTAAGAAGACAGAGGGCTCTGAACTGAATAGTACCAAGCAATACCAAAATTTAACCTGCTCTTAATTTCCTCATGAATAAAATTTTGATTTGCTACTGTCATCTGTAAGTGTCAGCATACTGTTTACAGTGTATTGCATCAGAGAGCATATCCAAGTGACTTCTCCTCCTCCTCTTTCTCCTTGTGGAATTGTATGCAGTATATAAATTATAAAGAAGTGGTCTTGTGGACCACTTGTAGGGTAATGCAGAAATACAGCAGTTACTGCTACCATGTTGACTGCTATGCTTGCTGATGTCTGGACTGAAGTGGAACGTCACTTCAATGATGCAGATCTGTCAACAGTGCTCACAACAGTTATGATAAATTACACTCAAGTTGTCATATTTGCTGCTTTACTGTGAAAAAAAGAAAACCTTTATGTTAATAATGTACATAAATATTAATGAACAAAATTCTCTCATTTTTGTCAGATGTCATGTATTACTATAATGTGTGTTATTCAGATCTGATCATACAGAAAGTATCCTATGTAATAGGTCCTCATTTGCCCCATGCCCTAACATAAAGAATCATACATTATCAACGTATGCTCAAAAGCTGTAACTCACTTCTGGGAATTTCTTCTGTTCTTCAGTTTCACATTTCATAATAAATTTCATTGGAAATGTCACTGTTTCATCGTCATCACAAGATTTTTGTTTTCAAAATTTTCAACCATTTCTGCAACCTTGAGATAAAACATCATATATACATGCATATGCCAAAGGCCATAACACATTGAAAACACTGGTTCTCGTCTGATCACCAAAGTTAAGTAACACTGGGTGTGGTTAGTACTTGGATGGGTGACTGCTTGGGAATGGCATGTGCTGTTGGGACTTCATTTTTTGTTGGTAGTATGCTTGTAACTTTGTAGATTTATTTTGTTAACTTGTATTACTGAATGACATGTCCAAGTGTTACTATGTAGCAAATTGGATGAAATAAAATACAATACAGTCACCATTTTCAGACAGTGACAGAAATGCTCTTCGCACTGTCAGAATAACTTAAGAGTGACATTTTGGGGTGCTTCCAAAGAAGCTTTCTAAATCACTCTACAAAAACGGACCTCACAAAATATAGTCTACAGTGAAACATGACATTGTACATACACAAAACATAAGTTTCAACAAGTCACTGTGTAGAAGTTTCTAAGACTGAGTATATCTTTGACAAAGAGAAGTTTATGCCCCAAAATAATTAAACAACTGATTTTCATACTTCACAAGACCAGAATACCAATCTATGTATAATGTTCTGCCAATTTGTCTGTGTGATATTTATTCATGGCTCTGTTTCAAAAGAAATAGAAACATTGGAATTTAGGTTTATTACAACAAGAAAAGGAAGGAGAACAGGATACATAGTAACAGAGGGGAGAAGTGCCATGGATAATTCAAAACAGCAGATAATGTTCCCTTTCTTCTACCTCTACTCTTTTTAAATCATTCACTCTACAAAAATATTTATTTATTTATTTCGTCTCTATAGATCGTTGTTACATGACATAGGACAAGTCAGTTACTGTACATTGGCTGATTACAATAAGAGAATAAAGTTACAATACTTAAAATTGTTTACAATAGATTGCAGTAGATTACAATAGTTAACATTTCACATTGTGAGGTGGAATCTGTATTAGGTCCCCTCGGCACGTCGGCTTCCATATGTCCTATTGTACCTGTACTGGTGATAATGCTTATGGAGAATTTGATGGAATGAGGATTGGCAGGGGAAATGCCCCAGTGCCACTTTGTCCATCACAGATCCCACTTGACTAGACCGCAGCGATGGGAAGCCAGCGACTAACCGCTTAAGCTGTGGCGCGGCCTTTGAGATAATATTTGTGAATTTGGTGATACCACTGGTATAACGTTTCACTGTAGACTCTACACTGCAACATCTCATTACATCTGTTCTCCCTTCCTGGTGCAGCTTCTTGGCATCTGCCATCTCTCCAGAATAGCCCATTCAGGTATATCTCTAACATATTAAATAATATGTTTATTTGAAGTATTTACATTTTACTAGGGGCAGTGTTTTGTAGGATTTCATTACAATTAATACAGAAATTGTAGTATTCACAGAAGAAAACCTTATGTTTGTATAAAAACAAACAAGCTTGGGATAGTGCATTTGAATAAATGAATTCAAGGCATGCAAGATGCTAAGTTAAAATTTAAAGAACAAAATTCAAATCTGTGATCTACATGTTACAAAGAGATTAAGAAAGTTAAACAGCCTAAAGCAAGAGGATCTGTTAGTGACAACATTTATAAGCTTCAAGGGTAGTTCTGAAGCAGGAAGCATAAAGTCCAACATGGAAATGGGGAAATTCTTTCCAGTTGCCAGACAGCAGCAAATAACTTCCCATTTAAGTTTTGAAGGACTGGCATCCATACTATGAGTAATGGAATGCAGAGTTGGCTCCCTAATGTGAGCAACAATTTATGAGACTTTTCAAAGTACATAATCAAATGGTTTTAATAACTCTTCTCATCTTCAATGTGCAAGCCCTTCAGAAATGCACACAAGGCACCCAGTGCATCCCAACTGCTACTCTTGCTTCTTCATTACCCACAATTTTTCCTTTTTGCTTCCTTCTTCCTGCATGTTTCTCTTTCAATAATATCAGTAGTCTAAAACGATTACAGGACAATTTACTACTTAATACATGGCGTCTCAGACCATGCTGCTTCTGTCAGGGACTGCAAATTAACTAGCATGCCAGTACTCCTGCTATTTTACTCACACTGCACACAGAATGTATTCACACAAATTACTGTTCTAGTGCCAGCAGTGGTTACCAATGAACAGTAAACAGAGGGGACAAAAAGCACGTGTCAACTAGCCACAACTGGGGCTTTCGAAATTTCGCACAAGATTCCTGTATATTATAACTTCTTCGCACGTGTGTTTGAAAGTTGTCACCTGGCAGATAACACTCTGAAAAGGAGGAAGACTTACATAATTCTTGGCTGATCAATTGTATATTATCCATGCTTATTAATCGCTAATGATATGATTAAAACCGTGAATATGAAATCATCAATAAATCATGCAGTGACATAAGCATGTTTTGGGCCCCATTCGTCAGTAGTTTATCACTGAGGTATGTAACATTCTATAACTTGAGCGAACTCGAGTAACTGCCTAACCTTTTCCTCGTTCTTAAAGTGACATCATAAATGTTATTATTTAAAATAAGTAAGCTTACTTCCCTTCCGGCGCATTGCAAACTACTTAAAAACACTTATAACCGCGAGTGATCGTGGAATTGCACGCGCGAAAAGTGGCACTTGTTCTGGGTATCGATAATGCTCAAATCTTAGAAAGTTGATCTAAGCATTTACGATATGCCTGTTCGTATACGTATATCCACAAATCTTATTGCAAGTTACAAGTTTTGGGCGTCAAAAAGCGAGGCGTGGAAGGCATGTCGCCGTTTAGGTTCATTGTCACACCTACTAATTATCAAACAAAAACGGAGAGACTATCCAACGCTGATCAGACTCGTCTGTGCGGCTCATATGATTCCGAGATCAGATACTTTGTCTTGTTTTGAGCGAAGTCTGTGAGGTTATAATTCCGAGTTTAATTGACACTTTAACTAAGTGCAGATAGGCACTTCTATTATGTTCTAAACAAGTCTTATATATACGAGTATATACGTAAGTACAAAGGAATTTACGGTCAGGTTAGGAAGATTTTTTTTTTAATTTTGCATTTATTAGAATTGTTTGGGTTAGTTCAAGTCGTTCAAGTGACCAGGTGAAGTACCAGTCGTTAGGGTACGAAGTAGGGGCGATACAGTTAGTATGACACTTTGACCATATGTTTTAATTCGAATGCATCTAGGCCCTTGAAATATTTTCAAGGAGTATATAGGACAGATCAGCACACACTTGTGTTCACCTTTCAGGTATGAATTTTATGCCGTGGTTCTAGCCACGGTTACAGTATGTACTGCGGTTCATTCAGAGTTTCAGAAGTAACCACAAGGATGATTCTACCTTTACCACTCAGTTTAGTTCACATAGTGAGTGTGTCTCTTTTATATTCTAGGTTCAGTGAGTGTACAGCTCTGAGGATGGATGATGAAATAATTCCTGATTCAGCTATAATTCTGGTGAAGAGTGAACCTCTGGAACATGAATCTGAACATCATACACATCCATTTGTTGTGATGGTAATCACAGTACATCTTTGAATCTTTCTTCATCCACCAGCTTTATATATGTAGACACACAAGCACACATGCAAATGTAGCACAAGGACTGACGAGAAACATATTGCAGCAAATTTCAAGGAAAGGCTGCCCCTTCATTTGGAAAAATTTCATGATATTGTGACATGGCGGCTGAAAGCTGGAATAGTGGAAAAGCAGAGGCAGCTATTTCTATGCAATGGTATGGTAAACACATTTCTGCAGAAATGAATGAACACACAACAGTAGAGGAATTGTTTGAAATGGTGTTTTCTGTGTAGGCTGTGCCAAGGCCATATAGCAAAGACCACCACGGAGTTAACAGTCACCCCTGTGTGGAGGCGGTGTCAGATACCTCCACTGTGGCCCTGTGAGTCATAGGAGGCAGTGAAAAGGAAAGTCTCAAACCTGCTACAGTAAAATATGGTCAGAAGTCCCAAGGGACTCGGACTCAAGAAAGACTGTGCTGGCAAGGGCCAGCAAAATATACAAAAGACAGACCTGTTCTTTTGTCAGAGAGGGCACCCCACAAAAGCTAGACCGTAACTGTTAAAGAGTAATAAATATCTGGTCATGAGCCCCAGTTGGGGCTTGACACCAGGACTTACTGACCGACTGACTCACCGTCAGTCGCCATGTGACTTTGACTTGAGTCAACAGGCAGAGAGTTAGTCTGAAGGCTCCTAGAGCCTTCAGACACTAAAGTATGGTCATAGGTCCTGTCGGGCTTGGAACTAAGAATCACTGATGGTGAGGACCAACAACAATTTAGCAGTCAGTAAGTCAACAGCCAGTCAGAAGTCAGAGTGAGTAGTTAGTCAGTCTGGAGTTGCACTTTTGGCAGCTGCTGCCTAGTGATGAGACAATAACAAACAGAAGACTTTATGTGCATTCTAATCACAGTGATTTAGAGAGTGTGTTGATCAGTGAGGCTGTGATATGTAGTTACAAGTTATAAGCGTCCAGTGAATCCAGTTATCAGTCTAAACCCCATGCCTAGTCACTAACACATGACATTAGTATATTAATTGTAACTTAAGAACAGCCTAAACAGACAAAGTGAAGTTTGATTGAGTAAACTCTATTAATTTCAGGGATGCATATATGACTTAACTTTATTCATTCTGGTCCGTCACACTAGTCAGTACTATAGAATGATTTGACTACACCTTCCAGTGTGACTCAAATGTGTATTTATATGATGCCTTTACATGTTTCACTCAATTAATGACCATCTTCAGAAGGCAAATAACACGTTAAGGAAACTACTGTTACATAAGTCATAGTACATCAAGTTCAGAGTTGTCCAAAGTTTTACATATAAAGATTTCAAGTATGCTAAAATGTGGTGAGTTTAAATATTAATAAAATTCTTAATGTTTAAAATCTTAAACCGTTAAGGGTTGTGTCTTCATACCCCTTATATCAATGGGAGATGGAGCAGATTGCCACCCTTGGAGGTCTGGGCATTGTTTTATAGTTGTTTAAGCATCACAATTATATTATGGGTATTTTATATAAAATTCTATGTACTTAATATTTTTTTTTACTGTATTTTTTGCTTGGTTCTATCTTGTATTGTCAAATCATTCTAATGCATATATGACATTTAAAATTTATTCATACATAAACATACTGAAGGACTGGAATATATATTGTTCATCATGCTTCCTGGGTATGTAAATCATATTTGCAGGATGCTTGGCACTAAATATCAGTAGAATAAAATACTGTATATGTGAAATAAAAGCAGAAATTTTTATGTAATCTGGTATGTATGTAACTTCTTCCTGCTTGCACTACAATTCTCCTGTCATATTTGTGTCTTTCTGGACAGGGAATTTCATGATTGTTGTATAGGAAGAAGGGGTCAAATTCCCTGGCCCCCTCATTCTCCAGATCTCACAAAATTTTTTTTGTGTGGAAGTTTGTAGAAGATTTTATTGATCAAGAAAATACATAAAACATTAATGAATTGTTAGAGATGTGGAGAATGTTACCAGTGAAATGCTGTCAATATGTGGTCAGAAACTGAGTATTTCTTAAAGTGTGTTATGCTGCTAATGATGCCAGTATTTAGATGTAATTAGTACAGAAGTCACTTGGTGAAGTGCAGTGTTTGGAAACATAGTGCAGTTTCTCATATATATTTTGTGACTGAAGGTATATATTTTAATTTACTGAAATGTAAGGCTGGATGTGCTTCTGGTTAAAGGAGTCCCATGGATAGTAGGGATGATAGCATTCAAAGTTTCAAGGTGTATATCCATCAGACAAAATAATATAGCATTAATAATTTTTTTCATCATTTTATACTGCAGTACATGTTTCAGTTTTACAAAAATCATCATTAGGTGATGTACAGTAACATAAAACACTTACAGAGATCATGACTATGTGCATTGGCCGAATAGATGATAAAAAAATTCATGAACATGTAAATAAACTGATAGCGAATAAGGAAATGAAAAGCATATTTTTTGTATGAAATCTTAGTAGTTGATATAGTGTGGGACAGACTGAAATGACAATTGAAGAATTAAATTATTTCACATTCTGCATATGTAGAGCAGAAAATACTTTAAAATGTTAAGTAAGGTATTCATTCGTTGTACATATGTCATTCAAAAGCGACTACAGCGACCAACCATTTTTGGAATTCATCTTTAAACCAAGACATAGTTGATCCAACAAGAACGTAGCACCAACAACAGATTTTGAGTAACTCATTTATTTTTCAGCCTTAAGGGCTACAGAGAAAACTACCAGACCCTTAAATGTGCTCCTGGGACATGTGTAAGTAATGACAGTTCTAAAAAGTGAAAGACTTTGACCTGACAGTTTGTGCTGTAAACTTAAAAAATATTTTTGAAAACTTTAATGAACTCATGAATACCTGAATAGTTCTATCTTCTGGGATATAATGACATGTGTTCTGCTGGAAGTCAGCCAACAATTTGAGGAACAGGTTGCCTCCATCCTCATGGTTGAAGAGTAAGCCAAGGAAGCAACCAGCAAGAAACAGATCACTCGGCTTGCAACCTGCTTCATGCTGGCTTCTCTGTCATGTCCACATGAACAGGATGCAGCTTATGAAAACATCAATTGTAATTTCCACTGATCACGCTATTTTGCTCAGTTAACATTTATTTTGTTTTTTAGCCGTGTTCTGTTTCTGAAATAACAGAAATAAATGTCCCTGACTTTATTTTTACGTTCTCTTTCCAGCCTAGTAAGAAACGTCCTTCTTGTAAAGAAGAAACAGAGGGTGAAGCTGATAAGGAAGTCCCACTTGCTACAGCTGTTAGGATAGTAGATGCATCAGCAATACAGCCTATTGAGGTTTGAATGCAGTGCTTGTTAGAAATAGATAGCACACTTTTATCTGCTATTTCTTGACTCTTTACTTCACCAGCCATAATTTGTAACAGATATTTTCATAACCTGCATGACCTACAAGTCATGATATGTTTGTGTTGTTTCTTGATGATGAATGTTAACCACAAATGTGTGTAGAGTGTACACTGAGGAATTGTTGAAAATACTCTTCAGTCTGTGAAATCATATGCTTCATTTTGCTGTTCACTATGACTATGCCAGCAAGTTGTTGTTGAATTTGGATATCGTGGGAGGCAACAGAAATAAGCAGCTGGTCACATGTTTGTGTGGCTCTTCTCCGCTGGGCAAGTAAAAGGTTGTGGATTAGGATCAACATTGCATTATGATCACCACAGCAACAGAAATTAGACTTTTCTGAAGTGCCTGGCCATATACCATTTATGATGTGCAATATTCATGATATTACTGGCAACATTAAGGCTCCGAATTGCTGGAAATTTTCTCAGATAAGAGTTCATATATTTCTTCCTTTCTTCAGTTCCAACTCACATAAAACTCTTACATGCAATCTGCCTGTTTCTAATTGGTGCATGGTATGAAATTTTCATGTGGCATGTGTAACAATGTCTGCTGTTCTGCAGCACTTACAGCATAAGTGAATAACATAGACTGACTGAACCTTCATTTGAACTTAAGACATGTCATCCTGACATTTAACTAGTTTTCTGAGTAGGGTAGACAATAAATAAAACATTGACCTGGGAACAGACTGAAGGAGAGTATACCAGCATGAGACAAGGCCAAAACAGGGATTTGGAATACAAGACCAAACACAATTTAAAACAGCACTCACCTACTGTCCCTAAACCACAAGAGGCCCAGGTAGCTGGCCCTAGGACTGCTGCATTTAGAGCAGTTATCAGTTCCAAGACCAAGTCAAAAATGCCTGAACAGTGCAACACAATTCGTCTGGTGGGCAAAGGGGAGCAGATAGTTGGGATAAAAAGATGACAGGAAGGGGGGGACCACAAGGTGTTTGGGAAGGTGGCTACAAGCTGTTTTCCAAAATATTATACACTGATTTGGGCCAGACACAGCTCAGAAGGTGAGTGAGGAAAATTGAAGATGGGCAGCAGAATTATTTGCAGGATCTTGTCACCTGTAAGGACAGCTTTTTCAGTTGGGAATAACCAACATTTGCAAAAGATGCCTGATCAAGGATGAAAATCCTTTGTGACTGAGGCTTTAGCTTACTTCAGATTTTGTCATCTGGGACATTACTTCATGGAACCAGGTGACTACTTACCTACCCCTTTAAGTAAAATACTAATTTCATTGGGAGTGTGAGATTGTTAGTTATGGTATGTGTCCCAGTTTGGCCCATTCATTCAGTCAGTAGAGAATGTATAGGAATTTAAATGAAATTGATAAAACGTCTAAATTCATAAAATAAAGTGGGATATAAGTAGGGGAAAACAAGCAAGGAGAGAGTAGGCAGTGTCATTGGGAAAATGTCATGCAAGAGCACATGAAGGAAGGCTGAGTTCAGAGGGTGGAAATGTTCAAGGGAAAGAAGTGAAGAAGCTTAGGAGGAAGGAACAAACAAAACAGAAGAAGATAAAGTGAAGTAACAAATAGGAAGCAGTGTGATCTGATAAAGAAGGTATTTTAGGGGCAAAACCAAGAGAGAACAGGAAGGAAAATTGGGGAAAAGAAGGAATGGAAAGGATGGAATAAAAATAGAATGACTTAAAGAGGGTTATGAGGAAGGTGGAGGAGGGGAGAGAAGTAAGAAGGCCTTGATAGGGGCCCTAATATGTCACCTGGAGAACCAGAGTCTTGGGATATTCTGCGAAGGAGGCTCCATGTGTTCCTTCAGGGAGGTCGTTTATGTGATTTGCTCATGCAAAGGCTCTCCTTCATGTTATTGGGCTAGAGCTATATGTTGCTGTCTCCACTATGAATTGGATGCTCTGATGAACACTGTTAAACTGGTGAAGGAAGTCACTCAGCTTCTCTGGTCTGTGTGGCTGCATGAAGATATATGAAGATGTCATCCAGATAACAGAGCCAGCACAGGGACTTGTTGGTTTTCATGTTTTATGCCATTTATTTAAAGAAGATTGAAGAAAGTGGCAAATCCATGGCCACCCCGTTAGTTTGTATATAGATCAGAAAATAAGAACAGGGTGGAAGAGTTGCAGAACGTTTTTAACAAGGAGCTGACCTAGGAGTTTCAAGGCCTCCCTGGTCAGCACCCTGAAAGAGTGAGAGAACAAGATGATGAGGATGCCATGAGGTCAAACTTGGAGGGAACCCAGAGTGTGTAGCCCCTCAAATGATCAAAGGAAGATTTTTGGAGGCATGCCCTGGGCAGACTACCAGATATGGAGACAGGTGATAAGGTATGGTCGCAGATAGTAACTCATGGTGGGCTATAGGTGAATGCTTCTGTTACGAATCTTCAGGATTCCATGAATATTTGTGGCTCTTGAATTCTGTGGCTACAGTTGTTGTAGATCTTCCCAAAAAGGTAGAATTTCTTGAGGTGAAGAACTCAGTGGGGTTCTTGGCTGTCTTCCTGTATATGTGTCCTCCAGAAGGACAATGATCATCTAATTGCAGCCAGTGGTGTTCACTTCACATTGCATTGCCCATGTCACCTAGAAGGACACTGAAGTTAGCATTGGCCTGTAGGAACTTCCTTTGGGCATTGATCAGATTGCCCCTGGGCAAGCTGGAACCTTTCAGCATTCTGACAGTTACCTCTAAGCTTACCAGAACAGCCTTGTCCAGCAGGGCTCCTACAGTTTTTCCTGCCCTGCTGATAATGTTTTCAGTGGGCATTGTGACAGGAGACACAGCATAATTAGAATGTTTCCTCAAGGCTAAGTATGCATTATCCTCCAGTGTTAAGTTAAGTTGTTTAAGTTTCCAAGGGACGCACTGGAATTTACTGCACTGTCCAGTTTTGCTGTGTAGTGCAACATGTAAACCCTTTTCAGACTTCAGACAGGAGCCATTCAGAGTTGGACAGTTTTCCAGCCAAATGTAGGCATGATGAGCAGACAAATGCTAGTCTGTTGTTAGAGCCTCCC